ATGCGCAAAACCAAATTTTGAAATTGGCGTTTGATTTTCCTTTATCCCAAGTGCCTATGTATCAAATTTCGTTTATATTCTTCCATAAATAAAAAAGTTGGCACTGCGCATGCGCAAAACCAAATTTTGAAATTGGCGTTTGATTTTCCTTTATCCCAAGTGCCTATGTATCAAATTTCATTTTAATTCTTCCATAAATAAAAAAGTTGGCACTGCGCATGCGCAAAACCAAATTTTGAAATTGGCGTTTGATTTTCCTTTATCCCAAGTGCCCTATGTATCAAATTTCATTCAAATACTTTTATAAGTAAAAAAGTTTGCAATTCGGTTTATAAATGGTCGAGATGCGAAAGGGGCACTGTGAATTTTGAATCGATTCGATTCAACTTTTGGCATTGCGTATTATATGGCTAAATCTATGCCCATATTGAATTTCATGCAATTCAGTTCATAACTAACGGAGATGTAAAGCGATCGAACATTTCTAAACAAAGTTATCGTTCACACGGACAGATAGATGGACAGACAGACAAAGGAACAGACGGAGAGACCAACCGGCAGGCGACAGATAGCAATGCAAAATTATAAACGATCTCTAGGATCGTTAATAAACGGCAAAAGTGTAAAATTATGGAACATGTAAAAAACGGTTTTTTGTTTTTTTTACAATAACTTTTTTTGTAAGCGGTACAGAAAAAATTCCTTCCTTGGTACAAGACTCGACACCATAACGAACCAAATAGCGAAAAAAGTAGAACAATAGCTCTTAAGATAAAAAACTAGTAGCGTCGTAAAACGAGCGGACGGACGGACGGACAAAAGTGGCCACAATAGCGCATTTTTTTTATTTTTGTGGAAATGCGCTAAAAAATGACTTCAAATGCAAATTCCTAATACAAAATTCCAAACGACTCCTAAGTACGAAAATTCAAAGAAACTTAACTGTTTATAGATGCCTTGAAAATGTCCACCAATTGTTTGTTGGTTGGATTTCTCCTTTGGAAGGCAGTTATAATTTGGAAATTTGGATAGTGGAACGCCTTAGACAATACTTTGATTTAAATAGTTGAACTTTGAGTTATTACAGTAACAATAATTAATCGATGTTGCGTAATATAAATGTGAAAGATGGAGGTACCTTGTACCTTTGCGTTTTAACAATACACAAAAGCTTGAATTAATTGTCATGAATTTCTTTACCAGTAGCCGTTTTACTTGTAAATTGGTTGCACCTTTTATAACAAATCGGATGTAGAACTTTGATTAATAAATCAGTTTTTTTTACTTCACTTGCCACTACGAATATGGGACAAGAGATTGTTCCTGCACCCTAGTACCAAACGCGTTTCGGCCGATTTTCTTTAACCACGGACAATAATCCACATAGGCACCGAAACGAAAAATGTTCGCTGCGTATCAATTTACTGTAACGTTTTACAGTTTACAATAACCGTCCGATCGTCTCTGTCACGCAGTGAACTTCTCTTTCGGCATAAACCAGCCACGTACTGTTAATTTATACGCTCGAAAAATGTAGAGATCGACTGGCACAGATTCTCTTCGAAGAATTCCGTCAGAATGCCTGTCCCCCACCAGATTTTTACTTAAAATACCTCGCCGCCAATGCAAACGCACACCTACTTCACGCACGCAACTCTTCTGGAAGGCGTGCACTCTTAACAAACACAAATCCCACATGTTCATCACGTGATTGGCTTTTCGTAAAATGGAACGAAACTTCTTATCTTAAAGACGATTTATTAAGGTCTTTTCTGTGGAACACAACAGACACGCGCATCATGACAGCACACGGCATGCCAGATTACTAAATAAATAAATATGCATATTTTATGTTGTAGTACGACATATTTAAAAAACATAGGCACTGCATTTGAAAAACAAAAGTTGTGTCGATTTCCGGTTGAACTGGATGTGATGCCGGAAGTTTGAATATACGATCGGTCACAACATTATATTTGGCAAATTTATTTATTTCCCTTCATTTTAAAGTGGGCGGGGTTTCAGTCAAGGTATGCTCTACCCACTATACATTTACAAATATCCATGCCCGAACCCGGATTGGAACCAGGGACCCTCAGCATAGCAGTTAAGCTTTTACTCCACAACACCACGCGACCCGTATCTTCCCAAATAAAAGATATATTGAGGTGACCCTCTTATCTAAAACGCACTGTATTATTCGAGAATTACTCAATCCCCTAAAGTTCGTTTGGTTTCGCCAAAGGTCTTATTTTCCCCAAGATTTGTTGCATTACATTAAATTGCCCCAGTTTCTCAACAAATTCAACTGTGGTTAACCCCGTTATAAAATGATTTCCGTTAAATAAGCAGAGACAGCTAATTCGGTGTAGTTTGAAGTTGGGCTTTTTATTCTTGTACATTAACAACAGTAAAAGTTCATTATCGAGAAAGGTTCCATATAACGAGAGGCAGTTGTACCAAGGCGAATCACAAAAGTTCAAATGATTCGTGATCCATTTTTCAATTTTTCTTGGAGGGAGCCTTATCAACTCTTTGTAAGAATAACACCGATTCCATCTGTAAGTTACCTTGCCTTTTTGAATGGGTGGGATAATTTATTTAAGAATTTGTAGCGGATGTTTATTCAACGTAATCATAACATCTCTAAAGGAACCGCTCTGTGGAAGTTAACTGCATGGAACAAATTTGAAATGCATTTAATTATTATAAGCGAATCCATATGAAGGAATTTGGTTGCTTTTTCATTAGTTGGCAATTTATTGTTGTGTAAACTATGTCATATAGACGTTAGTTAGGTCTGAACGCCTAAAACAATAACATGACACCCGGTATATAAGATTATTTCAATTTATGAAAGTACTTCGGGGGATTATGTACGAATAAGCACAGAGGTGGTTTATTTCAATTGAGTTTGTATTTCTGTGGTGTTATTTTACCTTTTAGATTTGTTTGTAATTGCGTATTGTTTATTTAAATTTGCGTAAAATGTGAAATTGCATGGTCATCTGGTCGTTTGCGATAAGAATTTTTGATCAGGCAAAAGTTAATTAATTTTAACGAAAAAACTTCAAGCGAGTTTCTTGGCAGCCGGTGTTTTCTAATCTAACTGCAATTGGCGCATTATTTGTAATGTACAGGAGGGAGATTTTTGTTCGGTGGAGGTGGTGTCTCGTTAAATACTGCAGACAATGAAAAATGGGGCAACTACCTAGCTGGTTCGCGACGGTTGGAAAAGAGTGTATGGCTCTTTACGATAATTATTTATTCTTTGAAGCAAGCTTCAATTTTAATTTATTTTGAGCTAGTTGGATAGGTGTTTTGTGGGTGGGGTAGTTAACCGCATACCATTGCACCCAGTATTATTTATTTGGCGCCCAACGTGGGGCCACACCATTATATTTCATTTAAAAAAATACCGTATAGTGTGATTTCTGTACAATAAAATATCTTCTTCCACCAGGTATTCTTACATGTCTTCAGCTACGTACGAGTGTGAAATTGTAGTATGTAAGTGGCCTATTTTCTTGGGACGAATAAATAGGATTTCAGGACGATCACTTTTGGAAAATTAACGTCGGTTACAGGACCAAGTATCGATTTGCTCTTCTCCCGGTGTTTACCGGCGCCGTCTCCGTTAAGACGACATTACTACGAAGGGATCGCGTTTTCGTCACGCTCATTTTTGCCTAAGTGGAAGTCGCTTTCGGACAATGGTATCAAAGAAGTATAAATGGGTGTGGTCTTGGAGACGTGAATAATTCAGTACATATAATTGAGTTTGTAGTCGGTAATGGTGCAAAAATAAGTGGTTATGTAGATACACGTCGTCCTTTAATGATTTATTCAATTGATACGAGAAGCTTTTTTCTAGTAGTACAATTGTTTCAATCGCAGATGCAATTAAGAGCATGTTATTCACGACGGACATAAATCGAGAATAAGAATTTTTGAATTTAGCAGATACTTAAGCCTTTTTAAGGTCTCGCAAATGGCGTTTCTTTCGTTAAGTGAGGCATTTACTTGTAGATACAAACACTGTCCGTATATGGGAGTTAAGACAATTTGTTCGTGCATGCGGCCATTAGCATACAATATACTCTTAAGTTGCGAGATTCTCGCATGCTGGCATCAAAGAGAAAAGAAAATCGCCTTTTACAAGAAGATAGCGCGCGCGACACAAAAGAAGGCAATAAAACACCAAACCGACTTATCACACAAAGAAGAGAATTAAGATTTTATCGTTTCGATTTATTGGTTCTCCGTAAGTGGCGCTCGAAAAAACTCGAAAAATGCGTCATCTGTATGTACGAGCGAAATACGTTACAAACAACGTAAATGTGAAGAGTTACATAATAGGAAGTGGCAATAAGAAGAAGAAACGGAACACAGGGATAAACCGCAGCCGAGTGGAAGAAGCATTACATTAAATCTTCGCTTCCAATATCCAAGTAATGCTAGTAAATTTTATTGCAAGGAAAACAGAGCTCCAAATTTACTTTTACGACGGGAGAACGTGGAATCGAAAAAAAGAAGGAGAAATGGAGAAAACGCGAACAGATGTCAACGCAAACGACCTAAAAACATTTACAAAAGAGGATTACGACCGCTCTCTGAATTGATATCGTTTCTTTTCCTGCTACCCGTATAAATAATCGCAAATCTTTTACTTTCAAAGCGAATACAAGTTCGAAAACGTCCATAACTGGAAAACGAAGTACTCCCCGGGCGTCGAGTATGACTTTTTAATCCCCTTTCGCGCGGTTTGCGGTCGCATCAAATGCAAATCACGCTTAATAAACATGGAAATAATAAAAAAATACACCTACCTTATCATCCTCTCCTTCGCTATCACACTGCAACACAAAAAAACAATCCATTAACGAAATGGCAAACAATAAAAAAGTTAAGTGGACAAAAAGCACGAAAATAAAAAGTCAATCTGTTTTTGCGATCGTTCCCTTGTAAAAATGTAGCTTGCAAAAAAAAACAGCCCCCCCCCCCCCTCCAGCGTGAATTAATAATATCGCACGCCGTAGTCCGTAAAATTAATTTCATGTAAATTCGTAATTAACAAAGTAACAAAAATTTATAATCCGTTATAAATGTGTATACTCGAGATATCTGGAAATTTACATGTAAATTACACTAAAACCCGCCTTGTTAATTGGCTGAATTTCTGTTAGTATTACCGATACAACACGGCTCTACGTTTTAAGTACACGGCTTAAGAGGATTTTCGGGCTGAAATGCGCGCCTATAAATAATTGTCATCGTTTTTTAGTAACAGAAGAAAGGCGAGCGTTGGATTAGAATCGATAAATCGGTAATCGGTCGTTAGGGGGAGGTTTTTTCACTTGATTTCGCGCCAGAAATTCGGGCGTGTTGTTCTGCCACTCAATCCGCAACATTTACTTGCAATTCATTGAAGTTGTGTTAGTCAATGGAAAGTTTGTTGCACTAGAATTTACAGCTACCAGATCTCTTAGAATTTTCACAAAATTCTAAACCTCGAGAAATTCCACACTTCTCCTAGATCGAAACTTTCACTAATTGTCAACTTAACACATCCCGACACCAGTGTAACGTAAATTTAATTACGTGGTTTTATTTATTTACAATTACTACCTAACAATTTGTAACAGTAATTATTATTTATCACTCACAATGTATAACATAACACAAGCGCATCGAAGTTGGAACCAAAGTCGAAACAATTCGATGATGTGTTGTTTTCAAGTATTATCTGTGGCGTGTATTTGTAGTATGGTGTCCTATCTGTTAAGAGATTATGTTTAAGAGCTAATTCTTGATGTACGATTTTAGCTACCTGATCGTGTCCAATGTCGATGTTTGTATTCTGTTTGTGCAAGTCGCGTGCGTGCCGATATTCTATGTTGGATTGTTATACAGGGTGTCAATTTTAAAATTTGCAGTCGGCCATATTTTCCAAACTAAAGAATATATTGAAAATCGCGCAAAACCGTTTCGGGGGTATCAAGGGGGAACCAGAATGACGTTATGAGTGAGTCGAGTTTAATTTTATACCTCTATAAAAAATATTAATTAAAACCTTTCTGTCTATTAAATAAAATTTTGATTTTAATTTTTTAGGAAGATACGAGGGCGATTTATTAAGTCTGACTTTTTGAATGAAATATATTTCTCAACGTCTCCTTTTAGCTCGATACAATTGGTCCACCGTTTTTCCAATTTTTTTTCCCTTCCTATAGGTTCTCTCGAAAGTCCCTCGAAATATCAGTTTGTTTCAGTGATAACCTCTTCATTTTCACCTTTTTCTTTACCAAAGGAGGTCGTTTCTGCTTCAAATCAATATCGAATTCATTTAATTTTTTTTCAATGTTCGTTAAAAGTCACGAGGTAGCTGGCAAACACAAACTAAATTGCGTATAGCCTGCCCACAATGGAAGGCAGTTGACGGGAGTAGTCTTACATTTAAATATACTACGCGGGACATTCAAAAAGTCACTGACTTATCAAACTGTCCTACTATTAGAAATACGTTCCAGAACCTGCAAAAGTTTTCGAGTTTAAAATTAGTTAATCAATTATTAATAAAGTGTAGGTACTCATGATGCATCAAGGTATATAAATCCGAGCCTGTAGGCCAAAGATCAAAATCTATGCCACTTAGATTTATTTTTTCAGCAAAATATGTAAAGAAAAAAAAATTGTACAGAAATATTTTAGAAAAACATTTTACAAAAAATGCATTTAAAAAAAAATTCAATTACTCAACAGTTTTTATTAAAGAAATACTGACCCTTACTCACCTACGATTCTGGTACAACTGTTAGTCTCAAATAATAAGACAATTTACGATTCACTATTTCAAATATCGACCTAAATCGTTAATTTTCAACTAACTAAATGCGAAATTAGATGACTCACTAGTAGGCGATAGCTTGGGCGAAGGATACGTGATACGGGGATTCGCGATTGTCATGTTCAAAAACCCCCAGATACCAAATTTTGTGGAAATCAGAATTTTTTTCGAACCCCCATTTAGAGGTGCGCCCTTTCGTGGTAGGAATTCTGAATTTTTTTTAAATCGGAAAGGGCATACCTACCCGAAAACCTATACAAAGACGTGCCACCAGTATTTCGAACTCTTAAACTCTTATGGTTGCTGAGAAAAAAATTAAAGAACAAATGCAAATTTCGCCACTTTTTTGAGAGTGGCTCCCACACGAAAAACGTTTGGAAAAAGTGCTTGTTTTGATCCCCTCTTCCACCCAATTTTTGTTTACATACTTATACGCAAGACCCTGTATAGTTCGCTGAATGTACACGGTGAAACCGAGCATATATTTCCCAAAGGCGGTACATAGTACGTAGATCGCGGGGTCCCCTAGTTTTAATATAAAAACTCACTTTTACATAACGATCGTCTATTCCTATTGTGAGTGCTGCTGTCACTTTTATGGTATTTTTTGTGTCACATAAAAGTATATACTTTTTTTATTATTTAAAAAATACAAAATTTGGCTTTTTTATAACTATTCGTTTATTGCAAGAGCTCTAATTTTTGCGGTATTGGTTTCCTTATTTGATTTCGTTTACGTGGTCCACAAACCACTCTTCAAAATTTGAAATTTATTTCGTCTAAATGATTATACATTAATGAAAATATCATTATGCCCCCTCTCTACGTGCAAACAATAACAATAATTCTTTGTTGTGTGCACAAACGATCGAAGTTGGGATTAACCTGTAACGTTTTTAAAAATATTAGGTACTTTTAGTAGGTACCCTTTACGCCACCTGTGCAATGTGCATTTCTCGTGTGGTTAGTTTGTTTAGTAGTTTTTGTTTCATAGTTCTTTGTTTTGCCGCTGGAGATCATCAGAATGTACTTTTCTGTATTTTTCCTCTCTCATGAATTTTTTAAGTTTGCGTGCGGACTCCCTGTACTGAACAAAAGATTCGATCGTGATTTGTAAAGAAGAACCTACACTTCTTAATTTAAATTGCCAACTATTGGAAACTGTTCCGTAGCAACAGATGACGTAACAAAAGTTTGGAATAATTCACACGATTCCGTTTGTTTATTTTGTAACTGATGAAATTTTGCAGATTGAAAACCAAAATTAAAGACGATGTACTTACGATATATCCTTTTCCGGAACTACATCGACTGCTGGCCTGTAACAAAGAAGAAAAATTAATGATTCGAAAGGAGTGCCACATGGGTCAATTTCTGCGTTCTCAACTGTTCAACATTCCAAAATTGAACGGTAAAAAATGACAAGCAAATACTTACATCACTAAGGCGATCTCTAGAACTATCGGCATCTCGTGGTGCTACTGAAGAACCGGTTAATCGTTCGGAAGCTCTACCACTATCATCACTTGTACCCGGATCCTGATGAGTTAGAGTCAAACCCTGCAAAGAAAAAGCGCTCATTCAAAAAAACAGTACCAATAATACTGAACAAAAGAGTTAAAACTTGAATCCATTTGTATGCGGATCGATAAAGAAAAGACCACAAAGCTATAATTACGTAAATGCGATCAGATTAAGGTTTTATAGCGGCACTGCACGCACAGAAATTTTATTATAACTTTGTTTTGGTTAAAGAAAAAAAAGGGAAAATTATAGACATTTTCCACGCATTAAAATTTCAGGATTAAACGAATATCGGTTGATGTAAGAAAAAACAATTTGACCGTAAAGGCCACTCGCAGTACATTAAGTTCGAATGGTGAAAAATCAAAAATTTAATTGAATCATTCGACTTCAATCAATTTCGAGCAAATATAAATCCCTCCGCCTTTTTTCCAGATCGTTAAGTACTTCTACAGTTTTCTGCTTTTACCATCAATCACGGGCAAAAACTTAAAAACACAAATCTAACCGGTTAGAATGTTTTTCGGGGTCGAAAAGTCATTTTTAATTCGCTTTTCGTGTTCTGTCTTTCGCTCATAAACCCTCGTATACGAAATGTGACACTTCGCGCAAAGCCGATAATCTCCCAACGTGTAACGATCTTTTGATCAATAATTAAAAGGGGCAAGAGGTCAGTAAACGAGGTGCGATCCCGAAGTTCGGGGGAGATAACACCGTACGTAATCCCGCAGGATCAGCGGCGGAAATGGTAGGCGGCGAGGGCTCGTGTCATCCCGTGTTCAAAACAGAGATGCGAGAACGAAATATTTAATTATCGATATTAGGCATTCGCATTGTATATACAAAAATTAAGGATAATTATCGACTGCATTATTAAGTTACTAATTGTATACAGGGGGCAAGTAAAAGGAAAATTACTAAAGCGACACGCCTCCTTATTATTTTAATTGGTTTAATGTTTGTAATTACATCATACAACACTGTTTATTACTGTATTTGTAATTTCAAGACGAGAGACCGTGAACATTTTTTTATTATTTTTTTTTGTAGCATTTTATGTGTTGCACTTTCAGAAAAGAGGAAGCTAATGGACTGTCCAATGCAAGGTGCTATGAGACGCTTTGGTAGGTTGCGAAATGATTATATTACAACAGATGGAAAACTTCTACCGCGCGTTATTTCGTTGTTTTTACTCCATTATTCTAGTTCCCCTTAAATCACATCACGCAGGGGATTTATTTTGAAATTTGTCACAAAATATTTATTATAAAACAATGGTTATTTAAATGTTCTCCAACTACTAGCGACCAATTTTCAGCCAACTCTAGATGTGATTGAAAAAAAAAAGATTTGCATATTTAATCTGAAGTTAGTAATTATACCAATATAAATATGCAAAAATATGCAAGAGTTACAGTTCTAAAGACTGCCTTACCTTAGTCTCCCGATAGGTATGATACAAGGTAGGGGGTTACCTTCTTCCTCTTCGGACGTGAGAATGTAAAATCGGTTGTGATGATTTAGCGAAAGAACGTGTAAGTGCATTTTTGCCGGCCCGTGTGGAGCAGTTGAAGCTCAACAGCGGTAGCAAGAGTTCCTGGCCCGAATGCGGGTTCTGGCATGGATATTTATTTTTACGTGAAGACATCGTTCTAGGATAAAGAAGCGAATGACTATAAAAAACTTTCGTATTAGTTTACTGCATTGCGAGTGAAATAAGGGGATCTGTACGGCGAAAATTAAGCAACGATTAAAGCTGGCTGTCTGCGTTAATAAGAAGGCATTTTGTAGGCGTTTTTAGGTAAAACTGTTAATGATTCCCGGTTAATCATGCAGCGAGACCGGTGCGTGATCCATGGAGTAAATTAAAATTAATTAATTCGCGTTTTGTCATCAGTGCGACCGGTTAATTTCCAATTTAGAATATTAATTTTGTAACCGGGGGGTCCTATAAGGGCGAAGTGAATATTTTTGGTCCAAATTTTTACATTTTTTTTTAATTTTAACCATAGATGCTTCTAGTAAACAAAAACATAGCCGATATAGTTTACCTTTTTTATTTTTTTAAATGGTGTTGAAGTGTACCTTTCTTTAGGTTCGGGTAATATTTGTGTACTACAATTTTTCAATCGACAATAAAATTGCTGCTTCATCTAGCCCTCTCATTTAAGAGGTATGTACATTTTATGACATCAACGAAGGAGGGTTTACCTTTGATTTCTTTTAGGGTTTTACTTTTAGTTATGATTCCTTATCATTATCATTCCTGATTGGGGGTTTGTTAAGCTTTCAATTGTATAGTCACGTTAATAAGATTTGTGACTTGTGAGTAACTAAAGTTATAATTTTGAGTATATTTGGGGGAGCGTTTTGTATTTTGTGTGTTACGCTATCCATTTGTCGAGACAAATATTTTGATATTCATCTTTAAGAATAAACCAGTATTTCTGGTGGTACCTAAATTGATTTTTACTGTCATTACTACTCTCGTATCTTTTCAATTTAATTTAATCGTCAAGATTTTTCTTAGTTTAGCTGCAATTTCGATCCAACATTTTTGTAACAAATGGCCCATTTTCAAAGTGCCGCAATCCGGTAACTATTGACCTACAGGTCTCCTAAAACATTAAAACACATTTAATGCTTTTCAAAAACGTATACAGGGTGTAGAACAGGAATTTCAATACTTTCTTTATATCGAAATATTTTCTCCCCTAATTAATTTAGAGCAAAGTTGTAAATAGGTTTCTTGTAGATTGAACAATTCTGCGTCTGCTCACGAGGGGTTGGTCACGACTTATTTTAGGGGACAAAGATTTCCTTCATTGCCTAAAAATTGCCACCATTTCTCTTAATTTCCCCAATATTTCCTCTAGATTATCTCAGAATTTCCTCTTATTTCCCCAGAATTTCTTCTAATTTCGTCCACTTCCTACATATTTCCTCGAAATTGCTTATATGAGGGACAAGAATTTCCCTTACACCTTTTAGAGGACAAAGATTTTCTTTATAGCCTAAACCTTCATTTTCCTTAATGTTCCCAACATTTCTAGCATTGCCCTAAAATTTCCGCAAATTTATACAAAATATCTCCGAATTAACGTCAAATGAGAACGTTACTTCGTCGGTTACTTCCTTATAGAAACCTTTTATTTCCTTAAAATTTCCATTACATTTCCTCTAGATTTCCTCTTATTTCTTTAAAATTTCCTAATATTTACCTAAAATTTCCCCATTCCTTTGAAATTTCCTCCTATTTCCCCAAAATTTCCTAATATTTATCCAGAATTTCCTCTAATTTCATCCATTTCCTACATTCCTCGAAATTTCCCATAGGAAAGACAAGAATTTCCCTCGTGTTCAACCCCTCGTTTGCTCATGTCCTCATTTATTGTTTTTCAATTGGGGAAACCGAAAAAACATAAATTAGAATTTAGTGTTTGCGTAAAAATCTAATTCTTGTTTCAAGAATTAGATTTATAATTATATAATTTATGATTTCCTTAATTTCTCCCGATTTTCCACAGCAAAAAATGTATTTACCCCTTTGCTGTAAAATAATTAGGAGAGAAAATATTTTAATATAAAGAAATTAGCACTGAAATACCTACCTACCTACACCCTGTATAGTGACTTTCGTCGATTGCATAGTTTAACAGATATAGAACAAAAACTGAATCTTTTAATATATTTTAAGGATTTTAAATTTTCGCGAAGAATTTTCTAAACAGATAGGTACGTGGAAATATTTTAAAAGTTTTTGAAATTTTCTGAGACCCGAGTAAGATTACTAAGGTTTTTTTAAGCAGATATTCCTACGCTTCTAAAATTGTGTGATTTCGGGCACATTTTAATTATAATATGCGTGTATTCCAGAAGTCGTCATTTTCTTGTGAAAATTGCAATTTCCATCATGTCCACCATGGAATTTTATTAAATAATAGCACACAAACAAGCACTTATTTATTGCTGCAATGCGGAATTTACTGAGGGGATGATCACGAAGGAACTCATGTAGGAAATTTCGAGGAAATAGAAGGAAATTTCCGAGGAAATTTCACAGGAAATCTAGAGGAGGAATAAAAGGTTTCTATAAAGAAGTAATGTTACTCACTTCACGTTAATTCGGAGAAATTTTGTGTAAATTTGTGACAATGTTAGAAATGTTGGGAAAATTAAGGGAAATGAAGGCAATTTTCAGACAATAAATGAAAATCAACCGTAACCAACCCCGAGGGGTTCCCTCATATAGGAAATTTCGAGGAAATAGTTGGGAAATGTGTAACAAATGGACGAAATTGGAGGATATATTACTAAATTTTGGGGAAAAAGGAGGAAATTTCGGAGGGGTGAAGAAATTCTAGTGAACAATAGCAAATTTTAAAGAAATAAAAGGTTTCTATAGGTAAGTAATGTTACTCATTTCACGTTAATTCAGAGAAATTAAAATAAGCCGTAACTAACCCCGAGGAATTTACTATTCCCCGATTTGACAGAATTTTGTTTTAAGTTGGGGCTGCTAGTTTAACATTAATCTGGAATTTCCCAAATAAATGAACTGTATTTGGACTCGAAATGTGAAAGTTACAAACTTTTTCAATTTATTTAACAAGTTATAAGTGGAGCAATTAATTCGTAACTTGCAATTTATTGAGCAATTAATATGCAAAATCTCTTTTCCATTTTACACACAATTTATCTCCTAGGCAATTACTCAAACTGGTCGGGGGGTATCGGTCTTCTCTTGGTCTGATGACCCAAACTGGCAAACTTTTTTAATATGTAAAAGTTAGAACATTCAAAATGGCGAGAGTGAAACTCACGGTCTTTTGTCGATTAGCAAAGTTGTGAAAATTGCAAGATATTGCACATTTTGCATGTGCCTGTTACGCACAGTCAAAATTGGCCACACAGGTACGTTATACGTCTCTCCCCCATGGTTTTACCATTGAATTTATAACTAATCTATCAGAAGCGCGGATCCCATATAACAGTTTGTGACCATGTGCCAACTGGCCGCCGCTAGGGGCAGTTCG